CGCTCCCTCAAAGGTTGTTAAAACACTTTTGGAGCGCTTTTATGAGAATTCTTAATGCATATTTGTATGAGTGACATGCCATGAAACTCGTCATATTTTATGCAAATATGCGCGCGAGAACACCAACAGCCGAAGAGCAAAACTACAAAAGTAGAAGCTGATCTCCCGTTTATTGCATTTTTGCATATATGTTCATATATGTACATAAATACATACAGTATCGGTCATATCTATAGCACGCCATTTCCAAGTGATATTGTGTGCCACTTATGTTTATTTATTTATTTTTAAGAATTTTCAATTAAAATACAGTTCTTTCTCTAACAAAACCCATATAAACCCAAGTTTAAAAATTTGTAGAAAACTACAAAAAAGTGCAACAAATTTTCACCTAAATTTCATACTTTTTTCTCGGAAGTGTTTGAATTTTTCTGAATACACAGTTTTATAGCCCAATCAATTTTAGTCTGCTAATGTGCAAGTTTCAAGTGGCTAAAAGTTAACGTTGATTTTTGAGATTTTGTTTCGCCAAAGGTGTTGCGGCTTTCTTCCATATACAAATAAATTGAGTTTATTCACTATTCTAAAAAATTAACTGTAATTTGTAGCCACTTGAAATTTGCTTATTATCAGACTAAAATTTCAGGGGCTAAAAAACTGTGTACTCAAAAAAATTCTAAGACTTCCGGGAAAAAAGTTTCAAATTTTGGTGAAAATTTGTTACACTTTTTTGTAGTTTTCTACAAATTGTTGAACTTGGGTATATATGGGGTTTGTCCGAGAATGAACTAGATTTTAATTGAAAATTCTTAAAAATAAATAAATAAACATAAGTGGCACACAATATCACTTGGAAATGTCGTGCTATAGATATGACCGATACTGTATGTACCTAAGTATGTGTTCTGTATTTTTCTGCAGATGCATACATTTTGATGTATATACATATATACATATGTTCAGTTATATAATTCATAATTGCACTTTTGAAAGTGGCAGCAGCAAGACGACTAAAAAAGTTGATCCGCTACCCAGAAATCTCGAGCAAAAGTTGGAAATTGAGCAAGCAACACTCTCATACATACATGCTCGTATGCTGTAGCAGAGCCATTGGAATGCATGATCCAGGTGCTATTCTCTACACAGGTTGCACACACACACAGGCCACACTGTCAGTGCACAAGTTTATGCTTTTGTTTTCCCTGCTGCATCTGCTCACTTTTTCGCTACTTTAGATGGTGGCAATTTAAAAATCATGACATTAGTGTAATGAACCAATGAAATTGTGGAAAATGGCAAAAGTTACACGTACGCACGCGCACATAAGCTTAACTTTTACAGGACCACCAACAACAATAGCAGCCACAGATGATTATACACTCTACAATCAACAGCAGGAAAAAAGTGTGAAAACAACAATAAAAAAAGATGATGCTAACGGCATTAGTGGTGGCAGCACGTGAATCAGCGTAGGTGAACGCCAGAGGGGCGACCAAGACATTAGAGGCATTAGGAGTGGCAGTCAATCGACAACTAGAGAGGTAGACTACCACCACCTCCAACAAAACTGAGGCGAACTTGAGAATAGAGATGGATAGTCAATTCACATGTAGGTAGGTATGTACAAATGTATGAAAGTGTCTGTTTTTGTGTGCGTATGAAAGTGCATTATTACTGCTTAAGTGTAGCATATTGTTGCAAGTTGCTACATCAAAAAACACTTCACTTACTTAAATCTTCTGCAATGTAACTGACATTTATCTACATCTTCTTCATCTGTCGACTCACAGCTTTCCTCTGCACATCAATGCGCTCACATACCTATAAGCTTGCAAAATGACGCAGCGCCATACATACATACATACATAAACACATACATATATGAATGTGTGCGAACAAGTGAAAAAGTAAAGCATTTGATAGTTCTGTAGATGGGGGATGTTTTTGGTCAGGCATTCAAGCCAACTACAAATTCACGCAACATTGTGAACAACACTTTTTGGCTCTTATGTTGTCACTTTTTGGCGTAAAAATTATGTTTTTCAGTTACGAAATTTTTTTCACGTTTACGCTTTTTCGCTTGAGAATATTTAGTGACTTTAAAATTGGTTTTCATTTGAGTGCCTGCAAAACAGCTAATATACGAATAACTGGCAACAATGTCTTTGTTGGACTAGTATTTAAAATATATAGTTATTATAGTCAAAACTATCGTACACATTCCAAACCAAGCTTTTTTGGAAGAGAAATCCTTCCGCTTTAATAGGGATACTGTTTATTATGTTAAGTACCTTTCTATAACGCATTACGATATATAAAGATTTATAGGGAAGCACCTCTAGAAAATTTCTCAACTTCAGATATCTTGTCATACTGATAACGTACGTAAATCATATATGTATTTTATATATGCACAGCTGTGTGGACCGAAAACCCACTTTTTTGGAATTTTGATTGGTAATAGCAAAAATATGTTGCATTATGATCTAAATACAATCTGTGTGAAAGGTGACAATTTTTGGTCAATATCTTAGGCTCGCCCAAGTCCATCAAAGTTCAAGTGCTATTTTTTCTTAGCTTACTTGGATTCTCTACAAAAAAGGTCCATATACGAATTTATGTAGGACAAATACTTTCAAAAATATTTACAATTTAATTTAAAAAATGTATTCAAAAAATGTATTAACTCTGTCTTGCCCTCATTTTCCGCAAGACCAACCTCCTCCATTCCTTCTGTATGCTGGAAAATGCTGCGCTCATGGCCGTGTTGTTGAGCCGATCAGTAAATCAGCACCACGTAAATCTATGTTTTGAATATTTATTGAAATTACTGAAAACCAGCTTCCCTCTAATTTTAGATTGGTTTAAATATATTTCCATCAGTGCAGCTGTCTGGTGGCTGCTTTTCGCACATACATATGTAAGTATGTAGTTAGTTGACAAAGTAAATAAAAAATGTTTGGTTAGTATTTTAATTTTTGTTTTTTTTATGCTTAAGAACTTCCTTATAGCTTCCACAAATAAACTTTAGTTTATTATTATCACTGGCAGTATTTATACTTAGGATCCGTATACTTATAAAAGCTTCTAGTTTATTTCCTTTGAGAACAAATGTTGATCAACATTTCAAAAATCTTCTATATATTAATACGCTAACGAAATCCCATACAAATATATTCCACCCTACTGTTCCTATGTTTCTCAACCAATTTCAATGATTCTTCTATTGTTCGAAAGGTATTATTTTCCGGTAGGTGCCTGATTTGGTTTCACCATCTATGAATTTTTAAATTATTTAACAGAATGTATATTACTCCACCAAACAATACATATATGTAAGTGAGCTAGACAATTAACAGGTGCTGATGGACCTAAAAAACTTCCGAGGAAAAATGAAAAAGTGTGTGAAAAAAGTGAAGTGGTCGAATTTCGACAACGGGGCGATACTAGTATTAATTAATGCATACTTATTATTTATGCGTGTTCGCTTCGAGAATGCGACAGCTATCTACACCCGACCCTCGTTCGCTCCGTGTAACCATCCCATACCCACTTGTGGTCAACAAATGAATATTTGATATATTTAGTTTTGCGTTGAAGCACAAGTATTTAAGTGGTAAGTTGTTGTTCAACCAACAAAATGGGAATTTTCTGAATGAGCGAATAAGTAAATGTGAGTAGAAACGTTTGTGGCAGGTTGCAGCACATACCAGATGTGGCAAGAAGTACGCAGGAGCAGTGGGGCCCTTTGCTTACTTACGTTTTTGTTATTCCATTGCTGCAGAGTGGGAACAATATACTTTAAGGATGGAATGCAAAGGTAATGTACGACAGTACGGGGCGGAGGTTGCTCAAATATTACCAAATGGGGCATATATATATATATATATGTACATCTATACATACATATGCATATGTATATACATATTGTGGCATTACACTCCGATGCAGTTGCACAGATGGTCGAAAAGATTTATCTTCTTGCACACTTTCACGTATTCTTCATTTCTTATTTATGCTTACACATTTGCATATGGAAAGCCACAGACAGAAATTTAATTATACAGAAATTGTTTGCAGTTATTGACATGTAAACAATTAAACATTGTTCAAGGATATGCAAGTGTGGGTTGAGAGGTTTTCAAATAGAGAAGATTTTAATTTTAATTTTAATTTTAAACCTCGAATGCCGAAAGTTGAATTAAGACACTCTTCACAAAAACCGTAACCGATTTTTATATTAAACAAGATTTTTGTACAATATCTAATGGATATGCTCATCGATTTTTATTTTGAAATGTGTTTTGTGTGAATAAAGGCTATTTGAGCTTTTGAAAAATTTATTCCTTGATGAATCCCTCAGTTAAGTGTTTCATATAATAGCAAACTGATGGTTTTTCAGGCTCAGAAAACCCTGTGCGAAAATGGTAATGTTTCAATGCAATTTTGTGAAATTCTTTGCATGTACTTCTTTTTCTCAACTAAAATTTTCTAATTTCTAAAGTTTATGCAACACATTTTTCTTAGTTTGTCATTAAACATTTGTTTTGAAATTTTTTTATTTTATTTCTAAATGGGAAGGATTAAAAATTTTGCCATTTGATTCATTTTGGCACTTTTTTATCCTCAATATGGCATCTCATAGCAAATAATAGTTGGAAACCCTGACTGCAATTAGCTTGACAATTTTTATATCATGCCTTCACATTCAATAAACTCAGACAAACTTACTTACTAACTTTTTTACATTAATTTATCTAAATAATACGAAAAAGGCATCTTACTTAAGAAGTAAGAGATATAACTTAACCTTGAAGTTCAGAATTTTGATGTTTAAGTTTATAATTTATTTAAAGTTCCCTTCAAGGTTTTTAATCAATTTCGAGTTTTAGTTAAAATCGACAATAAAGAAAAATGGGGCTGGGGCTCTTAGTCATCTTAATCTAATAATAAAATATAGAAATTTTAAGGTAGCAAAGCAAGTGCATATACATACAAACCTCCGTAGAATGATGTAGCTTCTTTGGGTAAAGTAAAAGTCAGTAGCATTTCTTAGTCAGTTATTTTTATTTAATTATTTACGAATTTTTTGACAATTGCTTGCTGTTGTTTGTTTATTCTCTTGTAATTAATTAATTGTATGTATTTGATTTCTCCTTCCAGTAGAGGGGGTACCGTCAGCACTTCCCTTTACATACATATATTGCCATTATTAGGATGAAAGTTTAATTTTAATTACTATGAATTGGTCTAGTACATAGTTGAGGCATTTTATACCGCATTTCGCACAACAACAAACTCAACGGCGGTGGTGTTAATGTTCATACGAGTACATAAATATGAAAAAAGTACAATGCGGTGTGCTTGTGTGCGTGTAAATACAAATGCATGTGCTGTGAAGCACAAAAAAAAAACAATTCCATATCTACATATAAGAATGTAAAAACACTGGTGGCAGAAATAATAGACTCGTCGTCCTTTTAAGAATTTTGGCTATATTTATTTAGTTTATTTTATGTTTAATATTTTTTTATAAAAGGCTTTTCAAACTTTGAACAAAAATTATAAAAATTCGAAAAATGTTCACCAAATTTTTCAATTTTTATTCAGATTTTTTAGAAAAATGCTTGGTATGCAGTTTTGTAACCCATTCCATTTTAGATAATAAAGTGCAAGTTTCAATCGGCTAAAAAATACCGTTGATTTAAAAAAAAAATTTTCTGACGGTGTCACGTTTTTTTTTTTTTCATACAAAGTGTGCTCGAAAATTTTTTTATATGGAAGAGAATGGATCCACTTGAATACTGCACTTTATTATACTAAAATTTGATGGGCTACAAAACTGCATACCAAACATTCTTCTAAAAATGCTGAATAAATGTTGAAAAATTTGGTGAAAATTTGTCGAATTTTTATAATTTTTTATAAAGTTTGAAAAGGGGGATTTATATGGTGTGTGCTGTATAGCTAGCCAGCCTTTTATAAAAAAATATTGAACATAAAACATACCATGGAATAATAGAAAAAATTCTTCAAAGTAAGGCGAGTCTATTATTTCTGCCGCCAGTGTACATATGTATATATGTGCGTGTGTGTGTTGAACTTTCAACAGTTTAACAGGTTTAACTGAATCAACCACAGATTATTTGAAGCTTTTTTGGCATTAAAACCAACTCTCGATCATAAATATCATTGCGTTTTTGTGACCACAATCACAATTGTAACTACAGTGTTTGAGGACCTTTTATTTACAATATACTCGGGGTATAAACTAAAATCATTTTGAATATAATTCGAATTATTTTCAATTGCAGAGAACTTTACAAATTCGTGCTGAAATTTAAATTCAATTTAGTCAAGTGAAAGCAAAGAGAAACAAAAAAAAATGTATTTATTAGTCAACGCCACCTGGCGTACTGTTGTAAATTTTAATTATTTATGCATTTTAATTGTTTATTTACAAAGGCCAGATGCTAAATAATAAATGCATAAACTCGATGAAACTACATACATGCAGCAGAGCAGCAGGCGAGTATTTGTTGCATTGCTGCTGAGCTTCTGCGGAGTTGCTAAACTGCAATTAGTAAACGGTTCGTGTGCTCGGATAACGTTGTCTCGGTCACATAATCGCCAGCGCTGCGTGCGACGCTGCGTATGAGTTACTACTGCATTTGGGCCATTTGGGCGACTTGCTGGCAACGAGCTGGTATGTATGGGCATAACTATGTGTGTGCGCGCCTAAAGTGCGTCATTTGCGTTAAACGATTTACGTCTCTCTTCCTAGAAATGCAATCTTTGTTACTCGTTTACCTTATGATTTATCGTTTGCTTCTTCTTATCCTTGTGTTACTTTTACGTTGGCTTTTGCAAATTGACGTCAAAAAATCAAAGTTCTGTTTAAGCTTACATAAATATGTATATTGAGATGTGCCTCGCTTCTTTTGTGTTTAATTTGTTTTTCGAGTAACTCACTTTTTAATTAATTCAATTGTTTGCATAAAAAACAATCAGGTCAACCAATATAAACAAAATACTATATTCCATAATCTTCCCTAATGTATTAAAAATTTTATAAAATCATTTTTTAACTTTATTTTCCCATTCTTCCTTAACTAAATTACACTAAATTATGTATTGTTTATACGATATCAGATATCTATACTAAATGCTGTTTTACTTAGGAGTACTAACCATACTCGCTGCGGCCGCCAGGAGAAAGCTTCTTGCGCACTCCAAGTTTCCGAATTGTTTCACCTTATGGTCGCACCTAATGTATTCCTTTGTTAGTTAAACTATAGATATATAGCAATAAATTGCTTCCTACATCCTAAAGATAAACACGAAGCAAGTGCCGGCGCACTCAAGTTTTCTCCTTTTTGGCCAGCACTCGTTGCGTGCTAGCGGTTCGCCAACCAATGCCCAAAATGCCATCGTCGCAATTTCCATTGTTGCCTGCCTGTCTGGCAATGTTGCCTATGGGAAGCTCACCTTTGGTGTGTTTGTTGCTGGGGCCGCATAAAGCAGTCGGCTGCCGACAAGCGCTACCCCCATCCCGTCCTCTACGTGAGGGGCAGAGTTCTCGGAAATCCCACGCCATGTTCTTCAACTGTTTCAAGTCGGCGAGTGAGTGCATTTCGGCGAGATTTGCTATTGCTTTTGCTGTTTTGGTGTAAGTGCTCCGTTTTGTGTGCGACCAAATGTGCGACCAAAGTACTAATGCAATAAGCCGCAGTAGAGTGTGGATTGCAGCGAGCTTGTGGTGCCAATGTTGTAGCAGCAGTAGCAACAAAGTTATGTGCCACTTACAATCGTTGCCAATAATAACATTTTCACTGACACCCGAAGTTATCGCAGAGGCAGAGTATTCGCCTGCAATTAAGAAGAACAAACTGAAAATGAAGCGTTGAACTAAGAATGAATAGATACAGCGCTGCAACAGAACTGAACACAAGAAACAAAAAATATAATATTATTGTTCAGAAAAAATTATAAAGAAATAACAAAATATTAGGATATCACGAATACGGTAACTTTTTATTTTGACGTAGAATACGTCTTACCTTAAGGTATGGGGGCTATGTTCAAATGTTGTAGTTGTAATTTTTAGAGCTTCACAAAAACGCTTATTGCAAGAGAACTAATAAAGCGATTTCAAAGAAGAGTGTGGCGTTTCAAAGATAAAATTCCAAACCTGTCGACAGATTCATTTTTGTAAATAACCAATTCGGTTTCTGTCGTAAAAACAACGGTAAACATTGCCTTATTTTGGGGTCAATTTTGAGCCTTTAAAGTGCTCTAGCAACTTATTGTTGGCATATATAACTTTCATTTTCGGGATATAGGTTCTTTGGAGCAGTAGAAATATTATCGGGTACAAATTTTATATAAATTTAACAAATATTGAGCATTTTAAGGCAAAAAATTGTTGAAAAAATTTGCAAATTTTTTTCATTACCAAAATGCTCGAAAACCGCTCGAATGATTTTGTTTTTGTTTTCTTTAATCAAAAATTCAAGAGTTTTCCTTTCGTTTGGTATATGGGAAGTATTGGTTGATATCTTCTATATATGTTTATTTTATTCAAATATATGGGCATAAATGATTTTCCATACAAAATCACCTCGTCATCATTTTGCAAACACGTGCACGCATTGGAAGCGTGGGAAGGAGACAAAAAGTATGTATGTGTCCGTAAGTACATATTTCGGGGTTTATCGGTATAATAATCGATACTTTGTCGGTTTTATTACCGATGTTTTTATCGATTTTGCTATCGATATTTTCGGAACTTATCGATATAATGATCGGTATTTTTTCGATTTTGTTATCGATATTTTTTCTCGATTTTGTTATAGATATTTTGTTGACTTTGTTGTCGATTTTGTTATCGACACTGTTATCGATTTTATCATAGATTATTTATCGATTTTGTTATCGATATTTTTATCGATTTTGTTATCGATTTTATTACCGATATTTTTATAGATTTTGCTGTCGGTATTTTAATCGATTTTGTAATCGATATTTTTACCGGTTTTGTCATCGATATTTTTATTGATTTTGTTTACGATTTAGCTATCGATATTATTATTGCTTTCGTTATCGATATTTTCATCGAATTTGTTATCGATATTGTTATTGGTTTTGCTATCGATATTTTCGGAACTTACCGATATAATGATCGATACTTTTATCGATTTTGTTATCGATATTTTTTATCGATTTTGTTATCGATTGTGTAATCGATTTTGCTATCGATTTTGTCATCGATACTTTTATCGGTTTTATTACCGATATTTTTATCGATTTTGCTATCGATATTGTTATAGATTTTTTTATAGGTTTTTTATTCGATATTTTTATTGATGTTGCTATCGATATTATCGACTTTATAATCGATTTTGTTATCGACTTTGTTATCGATTTTGTAATCGATATTTTGATAGATTTTGTAATCGATTTTGTAATCAGTATTGTTATCGATTTTGCTATCGATTTTGCTTTCGATATTTTTTCGATTTTGATATCAATATTTTCATCGATTTCTTTATCGATGTTTTTATCGATTTTTCTACCGATATTATTATCGCTTTTGCTATCGATATTTTTTGCTTAGTGTGTGCTTTTGTTTTTTTACTTGGATATGCTCTTAACCATACCACGTATTCTACGTTTAAATTTAGCGGCTGTATCTCCGATACAGCCTGCAGGCCAAGACGAAGGCGCTGGACTGTTCCTTTTTTTTTTTAAGTTAAATAATAAAGTCGCATATTTTCCAGCTTCTATTCGTTTCGAAATAAATGCACATGAATTAAAATATTTGCTGGAAAGAGTAGTTAATAATAAACATTTTAAATAACAAATGTCTGACATGCACATACACATACATATATGTATGTACTAACTACTTTAAAAAAGCATGGATTAAAAGATTCCGATTTCAAAGCGTTGTAAAAAATGTTGGCCTGTGCATTGTGTGTGCGTAAAAACTTATATTAATTTACCTCTGTTATGTAAAGTTAATTTGAAATGTCAAATTGCATATTTGTTACACACACATATCTACAAAAAATGGGGGGGAAAAAACTTTTTCCATCCTCACAAAAAGATGCCCATTTTTTACAGCTTTACTCATTTTTGAGCATAACTTCACATATTGCAAAAATTGTAAAAGTAATTTAATTTCGCTGCAGCCTGCAGCCTACAGCAACAACAATTTCGTCGATATGACCACTTTTTAAAGTCCTTTTCCACGTATTGACCATTGGGCAGCGCGTGTGTATGTTTGTGGCATGCGACAGCCCATGTCGGCCATCATTTGCGCGTGTACTTGCGTATGTGTCCGTCTTTGTGCATTTATTGTCAATTTGTGGAAGCTCCACATCGCATTGCCTATAATTGAATATCTTCTTTATCACGCGTGACTTTTATCAGCAACAACAACAGCAACAACAACAGCAACAACAACAGCAACAGCAACAGCAACAGCGGCAATATATCGACAACATTATTAAAAATTGTTTTTAACTGCACTCATAAATGTCACAGAAGTTAACACGTTCGTCGGTGCGGCGAAGAGGTGAAAAATGGGTGGCTTGGCCGTCTGACAACGCACCGATTCACCGGCCAGCGCAACACTGGCGTAGGTGGCGCAGAAGTGGTAAGCAAAAGTACATAAATGCGCTGGTCGGTCGGCTTGTGGGTCTGTTGCTATATTTGGTTGTGTTGTGGGCCGTAGCGGTTGGACTTAATGCTCTCTTAATGCTGTGGCTTTCGGTGTGGCGGCTTTTCATGGTCTTTATCGACTCACTCGACTGAGCGCAAATTATTGTGTAATATATTTCTCGTATTAAATTCGCAATTAATTAAGACAAACGCATTGCATACACACTTGAGCGTACATTTGTGAGAGGCGTGGACATCAAATGAAGATATGTATGCGCATTTTTTTAATTCACTCTTTTCAGTGTGCTAGCTCGTTGGTAGCTATTTAAGGGGACACTGAGTAATTCTAAAAATATTTAAGCGATACCTTTTTGAAGGACGCTCCACTCGTTTTGTTGATTCCATTTTGAAAATTAAAATCTAGAAGTGCTTTAATAACCCAAGCATTTCCAATTAGAGTGAGCAAATCAAAATAACTTCTTTTTTTTAAGTGTAAATATACGTGCGTGTCAATGCCGTGGCTGGATTTTTCTAACTACGCTGCACTGTATCGAATGGTACAGCATTGTAGCGACTTCGTGAAATGAAAGCATACTAATCAGTGAGGTTCTGTTTTTTTTTCTAAGCTATCCCACTCACGGCAAATGAACAAACGGTTTGCCTAGACAATGCGCTCTAATTACAAAAACAACTCTACGCTACCGAAGTTTAGGCTTTGAAAAATCCAAAAAAAATTTTTAAATCAATTTCATTTCACCCCTTCTTATATCAGTATAATATATATTATGCAGCTCTCGCCTACTGGCCTAATGTACGTACATATGTATTACATAAGGGTGTACCAGAACATAAAGGGTGACTTTGTTCTGGGGAATTCGATACCTAAATAACATATCCATCAAGTTTTATTGCTGTAGAATGAAGATAACCCACGCCAACTTGTGATGACCTGCAATAATGTCCTTGGAATTACGTAATGTAAATTTACATAAATTCACTTTTGTAAGGGAATTAATGTCAATTACATTAGCACCAGCTCCAAAAGTAAATGTCAGAAGAATTGTGGAAATAATGTTCACTTCGGAAAACGACAAAAGTGAATTTATAGTAAATATGTCAATTGATGTTAATTCCAATGACATTAATGCACGTCACCCAACATGCAGTTGAAGGTTTGCTTCAGAACTTGTACTGAATAGTAAGGAATAATTTTGAAGAAGAAGAGGAAGAAGCGTACATTTCCTGCGAATTAGTGATGTAAAGCAAGGATCACACAATCTGTTCAATTGGCAGTCACAGAGTGGTATTGTCTAGAAATTTTTATCGAGAATGAGTGCAGCTCAGTAAAAGCTTTGCAAACAACACCACTCTACAATAGTTAAAATGGATGAATCTTTAAAAATGTACAGATTGTGTGATCCCTGCTTAAAACTAGGTACAATTGTACCTACTTTTCAGCCACTTAAATTTAAACAGGTATTCGGTATAAGACCATTATATTAGGTACATTTGGAACGTAGTCAAATAACTTATCGGCACATTTTTTCTTATTTCCCAGGGCATTTCATTTGGATGCTGTCGAATCGACAAAGAGAGGATCAGCGGTCGTTCCGCGGTGAAACCTTCATTTCACTGCATCGTGCATCGTACACACACCTGAATCGTATTAAATATATAAGGTGGTTCTGTTCCCAGGAAATGCCTATTCGGGTGTTTCCTGTTAGCATCTGAATTGTTTGCTGATCATGAAAATAAATACTTTCTCCTGATGGGTAGAAGTGAGGCCTCATTGGTGTGTTTTGATAGTTCTGCAGTTCCATACACTGCATCTTACTAGTCCTTGGTGAGCAAACTGGCATAGCATAATTTATGACCGGTCGCCGATTACCTTTTGTGTTGCCACTAACGTTTCCTTGATGTTGAGGCTCTGTACTTTATTAACAATTGCGAGAAAGATCAGAGAGGTGATCAATACCATGTATTTATTTAGAAGCAAGATCAGAGAAGTTAAACAGAAGGTGAACGGTACGCCGGTCTCGGCATATACCATGGCGGTGTAGTTTTGAAGCAGGCGTTCGCATCGAATAGAGCAGTTGGCTCACAGAGAGTTGTGGCTCACTTTGGTTGATTTACAACAAACACAGAATTCTTGGAAAAATCAATCGTCATTCATTCACTGCTGCGTTGGTTTGCATTTGCAGTATTTTTTGCTATTCGGAGTACTTAAATTTTGTTCTCTTTTAAAGGTTGTCTGAGTTCAAGTCGATCATCCTTATCAACGACGTGTACTCGTATTTAACACAGTGAGATAATTTTTATTTAATTTTTAACTATCTCAGTACATGAACTCACATCTATAATAGATTGGCGCTTACACGTATGCTAGTGTTTGGCCGAGCTTCTCCTCCGATTTGTGGCGTGCGCCTTGATGTTGTCACACAGAGCGGAGGGACTCCGAACGGCGATTGTATTTTTGTGAGAAACTGTTTTTCATGGCAGAAATACACTCGGAGGTTTGTCATTGCCTGCCGAGGGACGACCGCTGTTAAGAAAAAACCTTTTTTCTATATTTTGCGATGTTGCTTTGACCAGGGTTTGAACCCAGGCGTTGCCGAGTGGAAGCGCGCACTGCTTACCACTACACCACAGCGGCCGACTCATGAACTCACATCTACACTTTTTTAATTTACTACCAGAATGCCAGCCCTGTATGGCCCCGTGAATTCTGGTCTTACACTAACTTTCCACAATTCATTATAGCTGAATTGCTCAATATATTGCTGCATTACCAACCTACCTAGAATCGTGGTGACAAGTGGTAAAATGTTCAGGTAATACAATTTTCCGGTTACAACATCATAGATCTTGCACTAACCCAAAGCAATTATGAAGATCGACTTCTCGGCAATCGGTGCGAAAACGCCATATTTCGGCAGCTGACATAGGGCATTCTAGAGCCATTTTATGAGATAGGGTGTTTTCGAACCGGCTGTCGAGAAAGGTCGATCTTCCACTCAGCCGTCAGTATATTTTGTATAACTACGTAACCGAAACTTCAATCTTTAAGTCAGCACGGGTTATCGTCATCATTCAATAGCAATAAAGCCATTCTGGGACACCCTAATGTATATATTTACTTATGTACTACATATATCATGAACGTATTTGGCTAATATTACCCTCATTTTTCAAGCAATAAGATATTAAATTTGTAAAATCTGATTTATTTGCAAGGCAATAAATTGCATTGTGTTGCAATTGTGGCACCTGCAGGCGGTTCAACGGAGCGGATAATTGGCGAATTTAACGGTAATATTTATGCCTGCTGTCTCCATATAGCGCTCGACAAGGACGCTCCGCACTTGCAGCGGCTATGACGGTCGTCCAGTTTCATCGCACTGTTCGTGATATATACAAGCACTTGAGTCTTCAACATTGATACATATACACATGCCTACATAAAAACATATGTACATACGTATGATAAAAACCAAAGTTTGTCGGCTTGTATATAGACGAGCACCACGCAAAGCCATACAATTGACTTTTATGCTATCTTTCATTGGTTTCTCGCTGCATTTAATTTGGTGGCTGTTTAACTTATTTGCCAAGCCTTACCTGGCGGCAATATTGTACGTTGCATGCAACATATTGTGCACCACGAGTATGTATATGCCACGTGACCACCTGCTTTGCTCGTACCACTTTTTTTTTTTGGATGCGTGCAGTTGATTTAATTTGCTGGGATGTGTTCGAAGTAGTCTGTCTGTCGCTGTTAGTGGCATATTGAACTTAAATTAAATAAATTTATTTATTTATTTATAAAGTGTTGTAACGCAATTTTATTTAATTTTTCATCTCTTGTCTGAAAATGTATTTTTAATTTGATTTGCGCGGCCGTAGGGAACAGCAACAATGGTTTGTGCGTAATTGTTGGTCCCATTGTTCCCGATAGCCGGTACTTTTTAATGCGATTCTCACCGCAGGAATTATGAGAATTTTATTTTAATATTGGGATGACATTTGATATTTAAATAAATTTAATGAACACGTCCTCAATAACAGTGTATACATCATTAACTTAAAATAATCATAAATATTTACTCAGCAGCATTCGAATATGTCAACATGTATGTGGTTGTGCACAATGAAATTTTAAAACATTTAATTACTAAACAAGAATAGAGCGTAAATATTTATGTAAATATGTATGTACGATGAGATAGCCCTACAGAAAAACATTATCAATTGATTAAGATAATCAACTTATAACTAAAACTAACTTTAAATTAGTTTGCAAAGTCATGCAGGAGTCATGCAGACCTTGTCGGGAGTTTGTTTTCTTTATAAATTTTTTATTTAAATATTCTTCTATAAAAAATACTTTCAATACTCTTTTTTTCTGCACTTCGCAGATTCTTTTTCGAATTCAGGACAAATAAAATATATATCGAAATTTTGCATTATTTTGATATTATGTCTGATGGAATTCAAAGTTGAACCACCTACAAAAGAACGTGTAACCAAATAAGCAAATATGTAATGTTAGATACAAATATTCAAAAAAAAAAATTAAAAAATAGAAAAACACTTCTTTTATTCATAGATTATGTCCAAAAGTGGCTAACTAGTTAGTTGACACCTAATGCCGAGTGAACCAGGATGTTAGTTACGGCCAAAGGCAATAATTAATTTAATTTTTCGGCTTTTTCCAATCTCGGGATTATCGGGATGGCGTTTCGGCGATATTCATTTCTTTTCAACAACTTGATTCGAAAAAATTTCTTCTATATTATTTGAGAAGCTCTCCTACCATGAAATAAATAATAATCAATGAGTTTGAAACCTACTTTTTTATTTAAACTGGCGTTTTTATTTTTTCTCTCTGACCTCAGGATTTATTTTGAAGGACTTTGTAATTTCAAAGATATGATTAATTCCAAAAATTTAAAAAAAAATTCAATGCAATGTAGAATAAAAATATGGGTTACAAATGCAATAGGAAATTTCTGCAGAATTGCACTTCACCATTTCATGAAATTATACCAAAATTCATAGTTAACTTTCGAGTATAGTTGAATTCATGAAATGGTGTTTATGACTTAGTTTCTTCTCGAAATCGTGAAATGATTTGGTGAAATGACCAGCCTAACTGGCTGTATGCGATGCATGTCACCAGATTTTAAAACATGTGCCTGAACATCTCCATTTAAGACTAGGTCAACGACAGTTTATGTTGCACTGACACTGATACAGGAACTGGCATGGCACTGATGAGTGTAAATGCAAAATTCAGCTAAATGTGAAATTTTCATGCGAAACCCGATTTGTGAAATATTAGTTTAGCAAAATTATGCGTATAAGCAGAAAATGTACCAAGGCGAACCGACAGCTAAACGAAATGTAAAGTATTTGGCATTAATATTTTCGTTTTCTATGTTACATATAGAAATCTGAAAAAGTTCAGTTTGATCGATGATCTTGGTTTGACTATAAGTAATTTAAATGTGCGTCCGCGAACCAATCAATATTCAAGTTGAATAAATTTTGCAGACCTGAAGCCTTACCTTTCCGATATATATTACTCAATACGCTTACATACACATAGCTGTATAAGCATCCTTTGAAATTTGCCAAATGTAGGTTACTGCTAGCCGATTTCTCTATGAAGTTCAATAGCCGAAATTTCAATTCAAATTTTGAGGCTAGGTAGGTAACCTTCAAGAATGGAAGCAATGTCCATGTCAAACATGCCCGGATGGCCATTCGATAGTTGGTGGTGCAATGCAAATGACACCAATACACATGTCATGCCAATCGCACATATGTACAGTGGCGGAAGAAATAATAGAAACCTTTTATTTTTACCAGTTTTGGATATATTGCTTTTGTTTATTTGATGTTTAATATTTTTTTATAAACATTTTACGCATAATCAACAAACACCATATAGGTAAATCCATATTTCAAACTTTGTACAAAAAATTATAAACATTCAACAATTTGTCGAGCATACTACTTTATAAGGACAACACCGAGAGCTAAAAAAAAGTATTAAAAATCAATGCGATTTTCTAGCGTCCCGAAACTTGCACTTCATCCTCCTAAAATTTGATAAGCTAAATACCTAATCGCATACTTAAAGTTTTTTTTTTTAATTTCTGAAGAAAAGACTTGAAATTCTTTGTGGATTTTGGAAAAATTTTGGGAATTTCTATAATTTTTGGGCAATGTTTGAATAGTGGATTTATATGGTGCTGTGCGCCAGACTTTAACACAAAAATATTAGGCATCGAATAAACAAAAGAAATATAGCCAAAACTGGACAAAATAAAAAGTATCTATTATTTCTTCCGCGACTGTACATCCTTATATACAACTACTGACAGAACTTATACAACTTACGCGCATGTAGCTGCCACATGCATTGGCACTCATTTCATCATCAAACAGCACGTGCGTCCGAGGCAAACACGTGGGTTGGCAGGACAAACATACGCTGGCTGCACTATTCCATGCATACAAGCAAATATGTATAAATATGCGAGGGGGTGTGCGGGCCAATGCACACTTATTGCATTCAACCGTATATGTAAATGAAATGCAAATGCNCACTATTCGATGCATACAAGCAAATGTGTATAAATATGCGAGGGGATGTGCGGGGCAATGCACACTTATTGCATTCAACCGTATATGTAAATGAAATGCAAATGCCAGCAAGAACGCAAACAAATTCAATTAAAATAAAAATTCAATCCAATTCAATGCGCTCCACTACACAAACATTTAGCCACACACACACACGTACACACACACAACTTTGAAATCAGTCTATGGCATGATGTCAAAATTCTCCCCTGTCTATTCCTCACCATTCAACGCGAATACTTTCAAAGGACGCCGCAACGAATTCATCAAATGAATTTAATTCGATTTCATTCGAAGAGATGCGATTTCACAAAAAAAAAACAAAAAAACTAAAATCAAAACTAAAGATTCAAAGCAACAGTATAACAACAAATGTATGTACAAATTGAATGAGTGAGACTGAAATCTGCGAATAAAATGGAATTTACCATTGAGCACGTGAAGTACAACGGTTTTGGGGGCGCTGTTGGAGGGGCTGCAAGTGTAATTGCCGGAGTCCTGCTTTTCCACCGATGGTATTATTAATGATGCCGTCTGTAATTGAAATTGAAAGATAAACATTGCACTAGTTGTTGTTGTTGTTGTTGTTGTAGCTGCATTTGCATTAGAAATGTTGTTTCACATACATAAATATGTACATATATATTGTGATAGTTCAGATTAATGTCAGAACCGAAATTTTTGTATTGGATAGTGGCGCATTTCTGCACATGTATGTGTGTGTGTGTGTGTTTTAGGAATTTGTATTCACCGAATTTGCAGGGAAAATAGATTGAAAGTGAAAAAGCAAATGTCAGAGGTGTTGACGAGCGGGCGAGCCCTGATTGAATAGAGCTCGCCGTTGCCCAAAACGCATTGTAATGAAAATTTAAATGAGAAATCCGGCTAGAAAATAAACTCAAAAAAGCACATACAGTTTGAATGAGTACAAATCGGAGATTTTTTTACAGACACACATAAGTCAACTACCTAATTCTCTGAAATTAAACACATAAGTAATTTATTTAAGAATCAGGACAAAGATGGTTTTCCTGGTAGCCACTTCTGAGGAGGCGCAAAATTTGGAAAACCAATTTCCAATTTCCTTCCTCTCTGCTGTTAACTTTATCAATTGAAATTCTCTCTAACAGAACTTACCGTTATTTGTCGCACCTCCACCGCTGCCAGCGTAGTACTCGCTGTGATTATTATTGTTGTTGTTGTTGTTTTCGGCCAATTCATTGTCTTCGTTATGGTTGGCACTGCTGTTGACACGGTGACCGCTGCCGCTGCCGCCGCCTTGGCTGCCAGCAGTGATGAAGTGGTGTTGCCAGTGCCAAAGGCAAAACTATTGCCAACGCCCAGTGCATTTGCCTCGGCGTCGCTGTCTGTCGCCATCGCAGAAGGTGGCATACTCGCCAAGGATCCTGTTGTTGTTGCCGACGCACCCAGAGTTGGCGCTCCTGTCGCCTGCACTGCTGCTGCGTCAGTTCCTGCGTGCACAACATCGCTGTAGCTGTCAAATTCATTGGCCTCCTCCGATGGTTGTGTTGTTGTGGTTATTGCAGCTGAAGTGGCTGACGCTGTTGACGCTGTTGGTGTCACCGTATCTGCTGGCGCGGACATCGTTGTTGCACCGTCGACTTGGGCAGTTGTTGCTGGTGATGTTACTGGCGTAGAAGTAGCTGTTGCTGCTGTTGTTGTCGTTGTTGTCGATGTCGTTGTTGGGGCCTCTGTTAGCGGTAATTCGATGCGTTCGATTTCGGTGCGCCAGCCCCTTCGACTGTGCAAATAAATCTGCTTCTGATTGTGAAACCAATTAATAAAAAGTGGCGGCTCCAACGCCTGGCTAATTATGCAACGCAGCTTCACTTGGCTGCCCGCCTTGACGTGACGTGTGGGCTCGCCTATCAATTCCGTTCTCGGCTCTGCACCAGCGAGGCATCAGCAATGGGGGCCGAACCGATCCGTTGTATATGGGTCAGGGTGCGGATGTTTGCGAGGATGTCCATACATTTCGTTCGGCCACCCAACAAGCAGCGGATGCATTTCCATATATGTACGCGTGTATGTGTGTGTGTGTGTATGGGTGGGTACGTGTCAATATGCGGATTGCGTATTTGTTTGGTTTCGAGTGTGTTTGCGTGTGTGTTAAATTATCAGTGTTTTCGAGNTCGTTCGGCCACCCAACAAGCAGCGGATGAATTTCCATATATGTACGCGTGTATGTGTGTGTGTGTGTGTGTGTGTGTGTGTGTGTGTGTGTGTGTATGGGTGGATACGTGTCAATATGCGGATTGCGTATTTATTTGGTTTCGAGTGTGTTTGCGTGTGTGTTAAATTATCAGTGTTTTCGAGTGAAATTGATTCGGTGCGATGAGAAGTGTTTGTCGAAGATAAAGCAAAATTATGCAGGAAATTTAGATAATGGAATTTCGGTCAAAACAAATTTGCATATTCTCAATAACATACACAACTACACAAATACCCTTCTGGAAATATTTATATGTAAGAATTCACACTATCGATATTAGTTCGCTCGTCTCTAAATAAATCAGTGATGAGAAAAATTGTATGTAAGTGGTTCTTTGAAGGTACTAAATGCAAAAGTATTTAATCTACTTATTTCTATCGTACGAAATGCCAAAGAACTGTGTCCGATCTGAAAAATCAAACCAGAATGGACCCTTAAAATAACGAGAAAATCTCAAAAATTTACGAAACCACGTGGCTTCCACTTGAAATACAAATTTGGTAAGTTCAAAAGAGGCTCAGAAAATGCGAAAATAATCCACATTAAATATATCTGATTTGCATGGAGTTTTGCTTTGCTTCAAACGCGAAAAATTTTCCATTCAAAGCTTTGCGATAGAGAAAGAAGCCTTTTTTCTTTCCTATAAAATTTCTGAAAATTTACTTAGCCATTTTTCACTATAAACTGGCGCTGTTTAAGCGAGAGATACTACGAGAAAATTGAAAATAATATGGCATAAGAACAAAGACTTGTCGCGCTTGTTATAAATTTTTAGATTGCATCAACGGTAAAAAGAAATAATACTTAGGCCCAAATTCACAGTTTTCGATAGAAAAATCTGTAGTTAACTGCCGATTCTAAGTTAACTACGCACTGTGAATTCGGCGTTTACTGATTTGTCTGAAACAAGGACCGTGTTCACTTTACCGAGAATCGGAATAGGAAATAGTGAAGAATATCTCCTTTTTTCCAAGCTTAACAAACTAGTTGGACCCTTTTAATGTTTTCTAAAATAATCGATAAAATTCTATCAATTTTCATTTCATTTCGACAATTCTTACCCACTACTCGCAATGTGACAATGGCACTTGATTTTGGTTCCGTCGATACTTGGCACTCATAGGTCCCTTCATCCTTAAGTTGAACATACTTAATTTGTAGCGACCAACGCTCAGGGTTTTGTGCAAAAACCGACTGGAATCGCTGGTCGGCTATGAATGTTGTCTGATCTACTGTCAAGATGTGCCCATCGCGAACACGCAGCCAGGATATCGGTTTCTTCACCAGCTGCTTGACCTGTAAAAAAGGGCGAGATTAAATTCAAAGAGACCAGAGAACTTAAAGTAATAATGCCAAGAAGGATTTTAAAAATATATTTTATTAAGTTGGGTTAATACCACTGCAAGGACGAATAATCGAACATATCGAACTTATTTGTTTGTTGGCGCTCAACTAGCTCTCTCCACATGTAAGTATGTATGCAAGTAAATATATGTACTTGCACTACTTGCCGTACTCACACAACACACAGTTTGTTGCTGTCTCGCTTATATATTGGCTAGTTACACAAATGGGTTTCCACCAAAAATAGCATTTCGAGCCGGTGCGTAGATCAAATTCATGGTCATAGATTTATTTCATGGCAGCAATTTGTGTGCAATCCCAGCGTGCGACACACAACACATACCGCTCGCCGCTGCCAGCCGCGGCGCACATTGACAAAATACGGTATTTAAGTTCATGAGCACACGTAGTGACATCCAGCGTCGGCCGGACGACACCAGCAAAACACCAATTCATTGCTGCCAATAATGACAATAATAATTTAGAAGCAATTTTTATGAAGCTCCGCTACGACAGCCATTTACCAAGGCATGCGAGTTGGCGAGAGGTTATTCAGTCGTCGGTGTGCCTGAATTGTATGGCACAAAGGCAAGCATAACGGAAATAACTCACACATTCGAACGTGGAATCAAGCTACGTACGTGTCAGCCTGCCTGCGTGTCTGCTTACAAGTGAAGGATGAGGATGTACCCTGCAGTAAAATTTAGAGACAGTCTGACAGAGTGCTAGTTCCGAACTACATATCTCGGAACTATCTCTGAACTAGTGCAAAAGGAATGCAGAGCGGGACAGTTGAAACTTGCGGTGTGAATGTGCAAATGCTCACTACTCGTACAATGCGAAAGTAGCTCAGCGAGAAGACCTCCGACTCAACCATCGTTGGTCGCGAGTTCAAATCGCGGTGGAGGCAGTTGTGTGAGTTTTCAAATTTAATCAATTTAAATTGTTGCATGCAGTTACATATATATATATATATATTTTTTTTAATAAAATATGTAACAAAAACGGAATCTCTAAAAGAAGAGAAAAACGAAATAAATTTCCAATAATAGAATCGCAAAAACGTTTCCTTTTAAAAAAAAACTGTCCAAAATGGAACCGGTTAAAAACTGGTTGCCAATTGCCACCGCCAATGACATCGCCGTGTAAAACTGGACAGTTGAAAGCATTACTTGGGTATTGAGCTAGAACTGGAAAAGGTCTAGTCCTACGCTAGTTCTAGGCGAGTCAAATTTTCTGCAGGGTACTTACATACATACACACCCACTTACATAGTCGAAAACAAAATGCGCACATTTGTGGTGGCCTACCAGAAGCGGGAGACGAGGCCAAATTCACTCGCATTTGAACGGGAACAAAGCGTCCAGTGGCTAACCCAAAGGGTGGGCCGGCATTTATGTTACATTATAGTGGCACTAAAGTTCAACGTGCACCGGGTGAAGAGCGCTTGGACTAGACGGACGTTAAGGCGGCAGAGTGTTTGGGACAGTTTTACGGTTGCTGCCGGGCAATGATGCTGGCTGGCAAGGTGTCTGTTGGTTGCTATCTCTGTTCGAGTAGTTTGCCGATGGGTCAACCGATAGCCTTTGACTGCGTTCTTGTTGTGTCATCGCCGGGCATTGTTGGGTGTAGCCACTGAACGATGTCATGATTAGCTAGCATTCTACATATAATCATTTCGTGCCTTTGCTTGACTGGCAGAGTCACTGCCTTAAGCTCGGAACACTTTGACGACTGCAACTTCACGACGTAACGACAGCGACATCATTTTGTCGACAAATGTCGCCTTGAAGCCATCTTCTTAAACATTTTGAAGACCTCAGCGACATAGCAAACAGCTGATTTTAAAGTTTGACATTTTGGTATATTTATTTCACAAATTGTGTATTTTTATTTAAGTAAATAAGAAAAACATGAACAATCAAGAATATGTGATTAATTTTGCGACAATTTAATTTTGCAGCACTACATCTACTCATTGTCGCCGGCAAAATTAGAAATAGATTTAATTTGGCGACGTCGACAATTGCAATGCTGCAGCCAAGATGTCGTGCTGTCGTCAAAATAATTGTGTCCGTAAGAACGTGTGTATTTAAAATTTGACAGATGCTGCTTGTCGCTTGCTGTCGTCAAAGTGTTCCGAGCTTGAGTTGAACATATTTTACAAACGTTGGGAATCCCACAATTACAGAAATAAATAAAGCATGCTGCAGAGGCCAAGTGTGGCTTTAGGAAATAAAAAATTAAATAAATAAAGCTAACAACTCTTACACATATATGTATGTATGTATGTATATTAGGGTTGTTGCGAATATTATTCTGAAATAAAAGTTCTTTCCGGATAATAAACAAGTCGCCTGTCCAAATTAAACAAATTTGGGATCACATAATAGAGGACTGAAATAGCTTTTAAGCAGAAATAACGAACGACCTGTATTTATATATTTTTATTATTATTTAATACTAAAGAAATGCATTTACCTGACACAAAGTTTGTTGTGTGGTAATTAATTAACATTTTCTATTGAAATATTTATCAATACAGTAAAACCCGCTTAAGTAGCTCACGAAATATATCAGCTTTTTGAGGTACTTAGGCGGGTTGGGTAATTAAGAGAACCCGCTTAAGTACCCCGATGCGGGTACTTAAACTAATCTTCTTGATAACTGACATATATAAGTCCTTGAATAAAACATGAACATTTAATGAAGTATACGTAGTTTAAAACCAAGATCGTAGCATTATTTACACTTAAAGGAAAATTTTATTAAAAAAACAAATAAAGCAACGCTATGTCATTTTCACAAGAATTCAATTAAAAAGTCATTAATTCTACATATTTATACATATATATCATATCCTTTTGGACCAAATTCAAATACCATAATTTACCAAACTTAAAATATAAGCTTAAAATTTTGCATAAGACTGAAAAAAATTCATCAAAATTTCAAACTCGTTTTTCAGAAGTGTTAAATTTTTTTATGAGTATACAGTTTTGTAGCCCATTTAGTGTAATAATGCGGAAGGTTCAAGTGGCTGAGAATTACTGTTGATTTTTTAGAATTTTTTAGAATGTTAAATGGGATACGAAAAATGTAGGTACTTAGGCGGGTTGGGTACATAAGCGTGGAGGTACTTAAAAGAAGGATTTCCTTCAGAATACATTAAAAAAGTCACAATGCTCAAACATGTTGGGAAGTTAAGTGCGATTTGCGATTTTGCGACAGTTTGATGCTAAAAATATCTCAAAATGTAGACGTCTACATTTTGATACACATTTTGGAACGAACTGTGAACACCCCAATTGAGTTAAATACGCAGAAATTACCGCTACCTCTTCCTTTATGTTTTGTAAAAAATTTTGTAGATGTATCGATTACCAGTAGCTCACTAGAAGAAAATATGTATTCATTTTTACTATGGGAGTATATCGTCAGTAGTCACGAATAAAGGCGCGAAATAAAAAGTTGACCGCGAAAAAAGACGCATAAAAAAAAACTTCAGCGAAGAAAGGCGCCTCAACTTAGTCGACGGCGAAGAAAGACGCGTAAACTTATTTACGCGGTCAATAGTATGTATATTCACCAAAGAGTTTTTGGGGAATAACGCTGAAGTGACAGTCCTTGGCTAGGTGTAAATCTATGTTAACGGGTCTTTCTTTGCCGTCAACACAGTGGCACGCCTTTATTCGTATTTAGTGACGATATGTACATAAATTCAAAACTTTAAAGCCATTTTTCTCGAGTTTGGTTTTTTTGCGTTAGACACTATTGAAGTAAATGAGCTATGTGCTTTTGCGCTAAACGACCTTTTGTTTCCTTTAAACAGATTTATTTTTGGAGATTTTTTCGTTTTAATACGAATTCGGACTGCACTTCACAGATGCATTTTCTTAATTAAGAAAACCCGAAAAAATTAAAAAATTATATGTTCCATCACACAGGTATTCGCATCAGTAAGCTTCAGAAAGCTAACAAATAGCAGCAGCATCTCAGACAAAACATGTAAGCGTGTTCTAATTGAATCAAGGCCAACAAATCACGCGATCGGTGCATTTGTACATTTTGATAATTACAGAGTGGTGTTGTTTGGATTTTTTTATTGAGCTGAACTTATACTCGATACAAATTTTTAAACAACACAACCTTGTGTTCCATCAAACAAACTTATGTTTAAGTTTTTCTCTTCAAAAATTACAAGTCGCTAATAACATAACATGGACAAACCAAAAATGACGGTGTTTGAGAGAGACATGTTATTTTTTTCGTAGTCATATATTTGAAAATTTTTGGTGATATATATTCCAATTGAGGGAAAATTTAAAAAATTGTACCTTCTTCAATTTAGTTGAGTTCCAACCAGAAAGATATTGGGGGTATTCTCGATCCGTTGCCTAGCATGGTGCATGGATAGCATAAATAGCATGATTGGATAAATTTGTTGTTGTTTGAACACATGAAACAACAACAAAATTATCCAATCATGCTATTTATGTTATCTATGCCCCATGCTAAACAGTGTGCAACGGATCGAGAATACCTATTATAACTACCGGTGATGCATATGTTTGTATTTTTGGTCGTACTTAGGCGAAATCTCATCGAGGTACTTCGCTAGTCTGTGTCATATAATAAAAAGTTCAAACTAACTTTACATAGAGAAGACGCAAATTTGGAGATATTCTGTCCAATAAATTTTAAAAGACTGTCTCTTTTCGCAAATTCAAGTAGCTAAATCAAATATAAGCTCAGTTCGAAGTCGTAAGCCACTTGCTTTGATGGCTTCTGGTGGGAAGGTTTATAAATATTTTATATAAATTTAGTAATCAGATTCTGGCATTCATGTTTTCAACTGAGTACTGAATAGAGGGTATGTTGGCTAGTACGCTGACCGATGAAAGTAATTGGGGTCTTTTTGTCTAAGCTAAGGTAGGCAATGCAAACATGCGAGTGTATTTCTGCCGTGAAAAACAGCTTCTCATAAAAATACAATCGCCTTCGGAGTCGGCGCAAAACTGTAGATCCCTCCGCTTTTGTGACAACATCAAGGCGCACGCCACAATTCGTAGGAGAAGCTCGGCCAAACACCAACGTATGTGTAAGCGCCAATCTATTATAAGACTCTAAAAGGAAAGCCAACTACTCTACTTAAGATAAGTTAGCTATTCGAGTTTCTCATCCACAAGCTGTAGCTATGATTGCATTACTTATTTGCTATCTTTCCTACCAATTATTAAGTATAGTGAGTAAACACCCGAATTTTGTAAACAATTTTTAATGCCTTACATACCCTGCCGGTTCCTGTTTGCCATTAAGAATAAGTTGGGAAAACGGCAAGAAATGTGAAAATGAAATTAAAAGTTTGCGACGTTTGAATCTTATTTTGCAATGCAAACACGATAAAACGAATCGAGAAAGCGTAGTGGGCTACGTCAAACATTCGGCCCGTCCGCTAACCCAGAAGCATGCAAATATTTTAGTGCTGCCGGAGCTACTCAAACGCACCATGAATATTGTGCGTAATTAAGATCATATTTCCGTCGTCTTTTCTCCGCCGCCACCACCGTCTCTCCATTCCTCCCCTTCCACACACCGCTCTTTCCCGCTTTCTTTCGGTCGCTTAAGTTATTGTGATTTTTTGGTCGTCGCTGCTAAACCGTTTGCAAAACTTTTAATTGGAAAGCGGGTTGATTACGAAAATAAAGCGGCAGGAGCCGGCGCGTCGGCAACATAATTTTAGGCAAGAAAACATTTATAACCGCTCAAAGCACACACACTCTGATATGTACTATTTATTCCCTCGACTTGTTCTTGTTTACCTTTAAAGAATGCAACCCCAAATAAAATCTCAACAGAGGAGTTTGCCTAAAAGAATCTTTTGTAGTTTTGTAGAATGGGGTCCCTCACTCAAGATAAGCCTTCAATTTGCATGAGCGCAGGTACCAATGCGTGAATAGTGAAAAACTTTCTTTTGAACTCACAGCCCCCCCCCCCCACACACACACCCACTTGCAAAATTTCAAATGCTTTCGCTGGTGGATGGCAGGCAGACAAACGCTTAATTACTCCGACTGAACTTTTCACTTTGGGTGTAAAGCGTATAAAGGCCGCTGTTGCACTAATGCAATTTTCCTTTCTGACGCAAAGCAGTGAATTATAATTAAAAGAGCAAATTGCACAGCTCCGAAACTAAAACGAAAACTGGCCGCGCGATTGAGGGCTGCACAAAGCGGCGAGAGGAGCCAAAAGGATTAAATAATAAAAATGCAAGAAAGCACCTTTTAAATGGTGGTTGCGAATACTGCCATGCCGGGGAAGCTGCAAAGCGTTGCCAGCATGGCACTGAATGTGCATCAAAGCGTGGCCGCACACCAAATTCCTGAAAACTGAAATCTTTTTGCATGTTTGCAAGAAAAACATAAGCGCTGGTATTTGCAGTCGTCGTCGTGGTGCAATCGGATGTGTGTATGCAAGGGTCTATGTGCGGGCGGCATGCAGCCTTTGTGTTTTCCGGATTTGGGTCAGTGTGGCGCGCGCAGTCAGGGAAATTGATACTGTAAATATACTGACTGACGTCGGCGACCAACCCAGTACAGTCACATACACACACGCGCACCCACACGCACGCACATGCAGTGGACCGACTATTTTTCGTGTGTGTTTGTTTTTTACGATCTAACCAATTGTGTGTAAGCGAGTTTACTTCTCAACTTCCGACAGTCGCTCATTTCATTTCTTCTCAAGTCCATCTTTCACTGTTCTGCATTCTTCTGGCGTGGATGGCGGGTTGTTTTTTAGCAATAAGTTCACTCGTAAATTGTGGCCAAGTTTATGTGAAAAGGATAAAAGATAAAGCATAAGAGCCAAATAACATTCGCATTTCAGTTTTTGCGCTGCAGATGTTCATAAATACGACGCTGGCTGTTTTTTGTTAGCTGCTGGCTGGTTGCTGGTTGTTTGATTGTTTGTTTGCCTGGTGGCCGGTGTGGCTTTCTCGGTTGCAAGTTTGTTGCATTTAACAGGAATTCGTAAATGATGTGGAAAATCCCCCCTTTCAGTGATATTAAAAATACACTTATACGTATATATGTATGTATGTATACATACATGTGTACTTGGGTAAACGGTACCCGCAATACGTACTTTCAGTGGCGAGTTACACTTTCGCATTAGCAACTTGATCCTTTTGAATTACTTTTCAGAAGGTTACGACATTTCCACTAAAGGATCATTTTACGAATGCACTGGAAAAAAATGATTTATTACTAAACGGCATACTCGATGCTCAGAGACTTCATTATTTAATTATTAAATTTTTGTGAAAATTGCAGATTGCCACTTTTTCGTCGCCACATTAACTATCTGACAATTAAGCAGATTGTGACATTTCATGCTTCCATAAAAAATGGCCAAAATACTTGAAATTTTATTACTCATTTTTATTTCATTTAAAATCTTCTTGCACTTACGTAGAATCGAAATTTGTTTTTAAAGAGATGAAGACCGATGCTATTATACTAATTTAAGTTAATAACTTCCACTCTAGCCTGAATCCTAACAACAAATCATTAATTTTTTCCAGACCCTCTCCAGTTTTAAAAATATACCAAAAGTAGGGAGTATGAGGTCCATGCGTCCCAAAGTAAGTTCCACCTCAAGTTTCTCCAACGACATGTGTGTGTATGAACAGAGCTAATGTGTATTTAATTACGCGTCAAAATGTGTAATTTCAGTATCTGAATTATATCAAAAACAAACATGTCCGATGAAATTGCAACAGCTCTGGTTTCTATGGACTCCTATCGCCAAATCGGGCAGATGGCATGAAAGTTTTTTAAATACAGTGGCGTAAGTATAAATAGAGAAGAGACATTTTGGCATTTTTTGGTCTTTCCCTTATGTAACAAAAACCATGTAAGTCAATATTTCAAACTTTGTACAAAAATTAGGAAAATTCGACAAAGTCTTATCAAAATGTTGAGCTTTTTAATCAGATTTCTTAGAAACATTTTGAGTATGCAGTTTTTAAGCCCATTAAATTTTAGCGAATAATAAAGTGCAGTTTGAAGTAGCTTAGACTTATTGTTGCTTTTTTGCTTACGGTGGCGAAAATATAAATAAGGAAAAGACAACTTTTTTAATAAAAAACTTCAGTTTTTAGGAATGGTTAGCGAATTTAATAAAAAAGATAGGAATTTTAAGGGAAACTACTACTAGTTCGTTTTAAAAATATGTATATACTACGTATGTAAATATAATTACTTTATGTGACAAGATACATATTCAAATCATTTAAATTGTGTAAAGCTAGTAACACATTCGAAACGTCGCGACGTTTTAAGACTTTATATTATGTAGATAATTATTTTGGCGACGACACTCCAACACCGCGACTAACTGTGGCCACATGATCAGAAAAATATTACGATCATCTAATACGCAACTGTTCAGTTGATCAGAAGTACAAAACAACGCGTTCAGAAGGTGCAATCGCAACAGTTACTGAGCTGTTGCGCCTTCTGAATGTGCCCATTGAAAACCCGTCAAAAACCATTTTTTTTATCAAAACTTTGTTTATATGAAACTACTTTTTTGTATCATGATGCTTCCCAGTATACTTACATCTGGAAATACTTTTTTTAAACAGACTTACATTGCACGGCAGATAGGCATGTGTGCCCGCCTGGCTGATCACTGTCTGGTAGTCGTCTATGGATGGCGTTGGCCTTGGTGTGGTGGTTGGTGGCGGGCGTCTGGTAGTCGATTTCACTATATTGGTTGTCACTGTAGGAAATGGAGAAGCGGTTGTAGTGCCGTTCATAGGCTCGCGCTCGCCTAATGCCCCAGATGCTGCTCCAGCCAACGCGTTCGATCCAGACTTTGACGTCACTGTTGTCAATGAAACGCTGTTAACACTGAGCGTAGAGGGGAGCTCCATCGGCTGGGTACTTTTTCTATTTTTCATCAGCGTTGATTTGTTCGTATTCGCCGGCGTTTGTTTATAATGAATGACGTTGCTAATCAAATTGCTATCATTTGCTGCGGCGATGGCTGATGTCGTTGACGACGTTGCCGGTGTTAATATTATTGCTGAAAAGGTTGGCTGTTGTTGCACTTGACGAGCGTATTGTTGACGTAGCTGCCGCAGTGGTTGTTGTTGCTGCATCATGAGTATATTGCTGGCAGCATTTTGGTGACTACTAAAGTAATTGTTATTGCTGTTGTATAGGAAATTATTGCTGTTATTACTGCTATCGCTATCGCTATCGCTGCCGGTGTCGCTGTCGGTGTCGGTGTGGTTGTCGCCTTTCTGTATCTTTGGACGCTGTAGAGGGTGGGTTTGTGGCTGCTGCATTGGCCATCGTTGTGTATTTTCACTACTAATGTGTTTAGTGCCGGCACTGACGTCAGGGTTGTTATTGTCCTTGCCACCTCGGGCTTCAATCAGCATTTTGTTGTAGTCGTAATTGTAATTGTGTTTGCTGTTATGTATGTCCACCTGACTGTAGGCACGCACACTGCCTGAGGCGTTTTGATATTTCTGCTGTTTTGAACTTTCGTCGCTTATCGTTCTTATCGGAAACAATGTCGCAACCAGTTGCGAAGCGGCTGCTGCCGACAGCGACTCTATTGTTGTCGCTCTGCCTATCGTTGAAGCCAAGTTCGCCTCAGTTTTTGAAATTGGTGCTATTCTTGTGGTCACTACAGCAACGGGTGTCACAGCAGTTGTTGACTCGGCAACCATTGGGTCACCTGGGCTTCCGCCATTTTCACGTCTTTCACCTCTCTCACCTCTCTCACCAGCGGCTTGCTGGCCATTCTCCTTATCAACAGTTACTAAGCGACTTAATGATACCTTTGTTCGCTTTGTTGTCACATCAACTTTTCTTGTTGACTGCGTTGAACTTCCGCTGAANTATGTATGTCCACCTGACTGTAGGCACGCACACTGCCTGAGGCGTTTTGATATTTCTGCTGTTTTGAACTTTCGTCGCTTATCGTTCTTATCGGAAACAATGTCGCAACCAGTTGCGAAGCGGCTGCTGCCGACAGCGACTCTATTGTTGTCGCTCTGCCTATCGTTGAAGCCAAGTTCGCCTCAGTTTTTGAAATTGGTGCTATTCTTGTGGTCACTACAGCAACGGGTGTCACAGCAGTTGTTGACTCGGCAACCATTGGGTCACCTTGGCTTCCGCCATTTTCACGTCTTTCACCTCGCTCACCTCTCTCACCTCTCTCACTTGCGGCTTGCTGGCCATTCTCCTTATCAACAGTTACTAAGCGACTTAATGATACCTTTGTTCGCTTTGTTGTCACATCAACTTTTCTTGTTGACTGCGTTGAACTTCCGCTGAATGCTTTACCTGCTGTTGCTGATGTCACTGTGGCTTCTTTCAATTCAGATTGTGACGCCTTTTCAAGTGTTTTTGTAATTTGCGTAGTAGAAATTTCTGTAGCAAAGTTGTAATCGGCAATGGCTATCGCCACTTCTGCCTCTCCGACAGCGTTTTTTCCACTACTTCGAGTAACGGCTCCGTCCTTCAGCCCTACGTCCTTTGTTGACGCTGTTATTGATGACTTTGCCTTAACCTCGGCCTCCAGCCCACCCCCTGTGGATGAACTAATGGAATGAGCCCGAAGAACTGTACCCGCTTTAAGCGAATTCGCTATCGAGAAAAATTCTTGACTCGTTGTACTCCACCTCAAAGTGTTAGTTCTATTTTCTGTTGAAAATGATTTTGCGGCTGCTGCCACTTCTGTTGCTGACGCCGTTGGCATTGGAATGCTCGCCGCCATTGTCGTTGTCGTCGTCGCTGCTGTGCTTTCGATGGCATTTAACGTCGAACCTATGACAAGATAAAAGTGAATATAAATTAATTGTAGTCCTTCTCTTAGGGCAATTGAATGAGTAGAATTAAGTAGCTGTCATTCCTCCCCACCCATCCGAGCATCTAAGCAGCATACTTAGTTACAGTTCTTAATAGGAGCTAGGAATGACAAGCCATTTGGCTGATTAAAGTCAGCGCTGGAGTAAAACTACAAGAGATATATGTACATTAGGATGGCCCTCATTTCCAAGAGAAATTTGTGAATGGCCTAAAGACTAAACTATGAAAAGTTCAGGTCAATCTAAAAAAGATTTAGAGGCGACTAAAAGCGCTTAAGGTTCCGTATGTATTTTATATGGGGGAAAAACTATTTTTCGTAGAAATGGTATAGAATCCTCGAAAATCAATATTTTTCAATCGGCAAACGATTTTGTCTCTTCAGGAGACTTCCCGAAAAATATCCAATTGTCTACTTAATTGGGTAACATTTTTGAGGTCTCCTTAAGAGAAACATAGTTTGCGGATTGAAAAATATTGATTTTCGAGGATTCTATACCATTACTATGAAAAATTGTTTTTTCCCCATATAAAATACATGTGAAACTTTGAGAGCTTGGAGCCACCTCTAAATCTTTTTTGAATTACCTAAAACTTTGCATAACTAGTTTAGTCTTTAGGCTATTCATAAATTTTACTTACATATTTATATATTAAATAACAAATATTTATATTTACGAAAAACGTTTCCGCCGAGTTTCTAATTATTACACTGTGAAACACAAAAAAACTTAGAGCCCTCATATATCAGGTTCGATAGCTGTTGACCATACGAACAATGCCTCTTACTCAGTTTTATTAGATCAATTCGTGTTCTTGAAAAAAAAATTCATTATCCAAAAATCTGAGTATAGCCGCCAAATTTTTTCTTCAAAATTTTAAAATTTATCGTATATATTTCAGTTTCATGTTATTTTCAACAAATGTAGACCAAAAAAAAACATAAATTTCCAAAATTTTGAGATAAAAATTTGGCCGCTATACTCAGTTTCATGGATCCTGAAAACTTATTTTCTCTCGAGAGCACAAATTGCTCTCTGACGGCGCCAAATAATTTTTTATATAAAATGGAGGTAGGATGCACCAAAATTGGAAAAACTAATGCGGACCAATTAAAGTAATTCAATCCAGACAACCCATGTATCCCAGATTACCAATGGCATTAAAATTATTAATTATTAAATGCTGGATGTACCAACGCCATAATATCTGCCAAGGATTTTTCACTAAAACCATAACTCAACTGAATTAAAATATTGTCTTAAGTGCCATTCGGATGATTCAAAAAAAAATATCGAGTCTAACCCACAAATTATATGTACTCGTATGTTCAAAAACCACATATAAAGACCTCTCATTTAAGGCCAAATATGTACAATTATATTGATCCCGCTGCAGCAGCTTCAACTCAGCAAAAAAAATTGATAAAAAATTTGGCACACATAAAAACAAAAATTCTAATGATTTTTAAAAAATCGAGCCCACGAGTTTTTACACACCTTAACAATAGCATATCCTGGATATAGTCATTGCAATTTGTACACCTCTCACGATCCTCATAAACCATAATAACCATAAAACTAATTTACTTTGGAAAGCTTTTTATGGACTTTCTTAAGGTTGGGATCTGGGTGACAAGAGAAAACCTTTATTCAGTTGACCTAACATTTTTTACACTTTTTAAAATGATGAAAACTCTTCAAATCAATGCAAATTCGAAGGATCCGAAGTTTTCAATCACACACCGAAGAAATACAGTTTATAATGACGACACTCATGGTGGAATCTTATTTCAAGGGGATTAAAGCCTCGTTAAAATTCTCCCAACATTTTTGTAGCCCAACCAAAACGTGGTTTCAAAAGCATGGTCAGCCAAGAATTATATGAATAGTTACACAGTCACTTTGTTCATTTCTAAGTCACAGCCTATTTCTTAAGTTTTGTCTAAAGCATACTAATTGCTCAGATATATCACATGGAAACACAAGATATAAGACCTCTCTTGTTCATCTAGCCCCAACGTTATTGCTGTGCTAATCTCCTAGCTAAATAAGACAAAAAAAGCCATTCAATAAAGTCAGACGAAATTACTTAAATGATTGCGGACAACTGTAAGCCTTAGTTAATGCGTTGTGATACCACTTAGTGGGTGGTGGGTGGAAGGGCTATGCATCAGCCCAAGATGCGACAGAACATTATTTATTCACATTTTAGGTAGATTTGTGCGCAAACAGAGCGGTGATATAATTCATCCTTTAATGTGTGGTAGCAGTAAAATACTTGTATATACATTTTTCGTTTAATTTTAAGTATACGCCATTTGCATACCTACATACAAGACAAGAGATTGAAGTAAGTATGTGCGCATCAGCCAGCTTTTAATACCAAATAAACTAAACATAACTCAACACTTAAATTAGGATATAATTAGTAGATAATATAGTGGCCGCGACAAAAGTACTACAAGTCAGTATATATACATATATCTATATATGTCCGTTAGGCTAAAAGGCAACATATATTTTTTTTTAATAAAAAGCCATTATTTTGTATCACAAGCATGACAGCATGTATAAAAACTTTAGTTAGTTTACGTCTTCGTAACCACATCTCGAACGTTTTGAAAAATCTAACACTGGTTTACAGCAAAAATGTTCTATAGATGCCACTATACAATTCCTATGAAGAATTGCTTGGTGATTCCGAAAATCGAGATAATTTTTTTTCTATGGAGTCAGACCCTAGCAAGAGGATTGCTTTACGCATGGCCAGCTAATTATACGTATCGAGTAGAGTATGATCTAGCCAAAATACCAACGTTAAAGTTAACTACCAAAAGCAATCCATTTGGATTTTATAATAAAGAATTATGCAGATTTTTTTTTGGCCAGGGTCCCTCAGATTTCGAAATTTTGAAGTTTCAAGCAGTTCTGAAATTTACCGTTATATGAAAAGCGGCCTCAATTTTACTCTTATGGCAAGCACAATAACCATACCGAAGTTGGTAAAAATTGGTTGAACGATTACCGATATACAAATATGTGATCATAAGTGGGCGGTGACACACCCATTTTCCAAAATTTTATCATAAACGTATTACTTGGTAAAGAATTGCTGCAAATATCAATTTTGAATAAATTAGCTTTAATATTTACTGATTTATCGAAGATTTCGTATTTCTCCAAATTACCGTTATATGGGATGTGGGGGTGGTTATTGTCCGTCTGCCATTTCGTATGCTGTGGCAAGGCTAACAACCGTACCAAATTTGGAAGAAATCGGTGGAACGGTTACCAAGATATACACATGTAACCATAAGTGGGCGTGGCTACGCCCATTTTCCAAAAATGTATACAGCCGGGCTCCCGTTTCCGAAATCGCAAAAATGTTGCGTTTTAGTTTCCAGATTGCAAAATTACGTGCTCCAGTATTCGCAAATCGGAAAATTTTTGCGGTTTCAAATCGGTTGCCGATGAGACGGTGGAATGAAAAGTAAATGGCAAAATTAACATAAATAACCAGCTAGCTTAGTTTAAATTTATTTTTGATTATGCCCATTATATCTTGCCATATTTTTAGCGTCCTAAAATTAACTTTTTATGTTGATTTTATTTGTTTAATTCACTATTTATTATATACATCTCCGTTTTGGGCAACGAAAATTTATAGAAGCAACGAAGATTTACGATTTGGTGCGGACGATACATGTGCGATAATTGTTGCATACCTCCAAGGAATGGAACTTATCGATAACAAAAAGTTTCGAATTCAATAGCACCCAAAAATAAAAACGTACGATTTTTACGAAAACGCAAAACGCAAAAGTAAATGAAAATGGGAGCCCGGCTGATAATATCCTTTATTTATTGTAAATATCAATTTTGAGTGAATAATCTTCAGTAGTTACTAAAAATCGCAGGTTTGGTATATGTGAAAATTTAATTTAATTAATTTGAATATAAAAATTTGGGTATATTTTTACGATATAGAACAATCCTAGTGTGTGAGAACATTAAAATTCCGACTTTACTGCTTTTTTTTTGCCCACCCTAATGTACATATGAACATAATAAGTATGCACATGTACTGAACTTACTTTCAATATAAAAAAATTGTCTATTTGCAGCTAAAAGTTTCATAATTTTATTGTATTCCGCCGCAGTTACTGTAATTCTTCTGATAAATATCTGCGGGCTATTTAATTTAATCTGACCTTAACCCGCTTAATCCGGCTATGCGGTTAATGAAAAGCACTTACGCGGCCCCAGTGCAATGTTTTTACGCTTCTTTAGAAGCATTTACTTAGTACTTCAACTTCTCCTTGCACTCCAAGTCTGAAACAAAATTCGGCTTGTTTTGGCCAAAGTTCAAAGTGCCGTGAAGAGTGGTAATCAAGTCGGCTTATTTCGTTCAAACTTTTCAAAAATTATTTATTTGTTGCTGATTCTTCGATGGCTCTTCTACTTTTTATTATTATTGGTACAATATTTACATTGTTGTTGCAGTTACCACTTTAATGTGAGTTTGGAAAGGATACTTGAATGTTTAACATCGCCACTAAGTACAGTAATGCCAAGGCATGCAGAAAATTGCGGCGCTGAGTGGAGAGGCACCGAATGAACCGTGTTGTAGCAAATGTAGCAGCAGCAGCAACGGCCAATGAGCAAAGGAACGAGCTAAAGTAAAGTTTCGCGCTTTTAACGCAATTTTCCGTAGCGAGAAGCTGGAAATACTTGAGCGCGTATTTTATTTTTGGCTGCCGTAACGATTCGTGTCGATTCCGGTAGCCCCACTCGCCAAACTGCTAAAAACTGTTTTAGTAATGCTACGCGAAAGCAGAGCGGAAAATTACGCTCGCTCTTCCCTTTTGCTGTTTTCTTCGCTTGGCCTTGGCATCATTTAATCGAATTTGCTTCGCCCGTTGATTTGGCAGATGAAGTTTTCATGGCAGGTACTGAATCCTTGCTAACGTATTTTGATACACATACATACATATTGGCTTCACGTGGTAACTATGTAGGGATGTACATATGTATTTCTCACAGACACATTTATTGTCTGATGGTGTAAATGTTATTCATAAACAAAGTTTGACTAGTTTTCTTTTCTCACGCAGTTGTTTAATTGCACCAACACTGGAGTCCACACGAACGTGTGCGTATATGTAATGATTAGTGGCTTTATACGCGTGAATTACTCTTTTTTCACGAGAATTTCTTGGTTGTATTAAAGTACCAAGTACCCGGCGTATTTCACAACGCCTCATGATCGCATAACTAATAACTGTATAGTTGAAACTGCATATTAATTATTTCTTTTATATTAAACTTCATTCCAGTGGAAATCCGAAAATAAATTGTACCATTATGTGTATTCGCGTATTCTTCCGACAGAACAACTCTACTGAATTTTTTTCTCTGTCAAAGAGAGAAATATTTGGAAAAGCAAACGAACGCTAAGCTAGCAAAAAAACTTGCAAGTTTAACCGACATCAGATGTACTTGTTTAGTTATAGTTTAGTTAAAATTCGCTGCCCTTATTGGAGCTGCATTATATTTTTTTTCTTTTCAACGTGTACACATTTTTTAGCTGGGACGAATTATAAAATATTGTCACTCATTGTATTCTTTAGTAAAAATGGACACAAATGCCACCTCCATTAACAATTTTTTGCTCCAACACCAATTTTAGCGAACTTTTTTTTGATCAGCTGTTTCCTGGACGCTAAATTACTGCTGACAAAAATGTTTCCAGCAGAAAATATCTGTCTGAGAAAAGTCACCTTTTTCTCCCAGTTTCACCTACCTTGCTGAATTTTGCGAACATCTGAACTGGTACGCAAATAAACCTTTTATCTGAATACGATTACGATCAGATATACGAAGGACAAGACGAATACGAATACGAATACAAATACGAATACGAATACGAATACGAATACGGATACGAATGCGACGACTAGCACCAATGTGAAGACGAATACGAAGGCAAATACGAAAACGAAGTTGAAGGCCAACTAAAGGCAAGGAATGTGATCACGAACGCGAAAACCAAGACAATTAATGAGACGAAGACAAGGACGAATACAAGAAGAATACGAACAAAAATACGGAAACGAATACGAAAATGAAAACGAATATGAGGGCGGATACCAAGACGACTGCGAAGGCCAATACGAAGACGTGTACATATACGAATACAGAGACCAATACGAAGACGAATACCTCAAAATCCTACGTTACTTACAACAGGTATACGGAGAGTCGTCTTCACCAAATAATCACTATAGGATTGTGCATAGGCGAATACAGGCCCATACATTAGACATACCATCAAAATTCTGGGCTTCAGTGTCGATGATTGAGCGGCAGGGAGCGTTTTCGCACAAAATTACCAAATCTAGCAAATTGTTTCCGTACTTCAAATTTTTTTGAGTGAAGTGAGAAAATGCGAAGTAAACTGGTCTTACGCTTCATCATTACCAATTTACGATTTCCCATTTATGTTTTTTCGTTATCAGTTTACTTTTACTCATAATTTTTTTCTTTTTTTCACTACTAATTTACGTGTTTTCAATATAATTTATATATTTTCTCAATACTAAAGGAGTTCTTACACGATATGTATTTGCAACTGTGTGACTTTTTCAATACATATGTAATTGCGTATGTCTGTCAAATTCACAGTCGTTATTTAACTATTTAAAAATGCTTTCTTTGACAGATGATAATAGAAACATTTCTATTTCGTATGTACGTGCATCTGCTTGGTACAGAAACAAATCTAATTTGCCTTTACACAATATGTTGAAATTTCCATATGTAAAAAGTGGCGTGTACACATGCAAATACATATCGTGTAAGAACACTTTAGCAGTCAATTTTACGAAAGAAATTCAAGTGAAAAATTATTCCCATTTTTTTAATAATATATGAAAATTTACAGAAAATAAATAATTTTTTCCGTTTAAATTGCTGGTGAAACCGGCTATAAGTTAGGTTTTCTCAATTTAATTTATATTTTCTCATTACTGGGTTGAACAGGTGTAAAAATTGATCCAAGGAAGCACAATAAATATTTGTTTGTTGTTGTTGTGTTTGATTTTCAATTAGAGTTTTTATGATTCCACCTTTTTCTCCTTGTTTTAATTTTTTTTTTTTTTGTTTTTGCATCTTCCAAGGTTTCAAAATTAGTTGAAAAATACTTCAGCATTGGGCCATTAGTCTGAATATCAAAGAGTTTTAACAAAAAATAATGGTTCCTAGAGAAACTTTCAGCCATCAAACTGTAACGGAAATAAATTTAAAAAAAAACAGTCGAATTTCTATCGTAACTCTTAAGCCTAGTGTTCATTATTTCTCTAAGGCGGTTTTTCGTTAGAACCCTTTTTTCATGTTTTGTTGTACGTAACCAATCTTAATACTCGAGGGTGTACATTAGGGCGGGTCAATATTTTTTTACTATACGCGTTTAGCATAGGAGGATTCCACGTGTAATTCCAAATGAATTTGAAGAAAAAAATATGGGTCTAAATGGCGAAAATAGGTTTCGAAGAAAATGTAAAAATTTTCACCTTAGCGCCCTCTGGTGGAAGTTTTAACAAAGGTAAGTGGATAGATGGATTCCTCGTACCAAAAACCCCTTAGAGCACTTCCTTACCACACTACAGCAAAATTCTAATTTTCGCAATTTTTCAAACTCCAAATTGATTTTACACTCATGCTTTCTTCGGCAAATTTGCTTAGAATCCTACTATTGCATACGGGCATCCTCCCCTCCATACGCGATCCTTTCTTTTGATTTTTTTATGTGTATGTATGTACTTTCGATAAGCTCTTACATACATATTAGAGCTGGGAACTTTAGTTTTTTTATGTGAACCATTCAGTTGCAGTTCACTGACCTTAATGAACTAGTTCAATAGTTCCTATAGTTCATTTAGTTCAATTTACGAATATATTTACATGCCGACACCTTTGTGGAAGATCGATACATCCAAAATAACGTAAGCGACATTTATTTAAAAATTTTATTTTTAATGCAGAAATATTCCCAAAGCATCTAGGTGCATTTCTGCATCAAAAACAAAATTTTCAAAAAAAAATGTCGCTTACGTTATTTTGGCAGTTAGGGCTCGATATGTTTTCGTATAAACAAAATAAAAATAAACGTGTTCCTACATAAAACAAAATCTTAATAAATTTCAAAGAGTATGAGCATACATTCGTGTGTATGTATATATGTGCAAAAACATTAAATCAGAAAGGTAGTTTGATTTTAAAAGCATTGTAAGCCAGTTGAATATTTTCCCTGCCCCCTAAAAAAATCGTTAAAACTGAGATGAACTAGTTCTTTAGTTCATTTAGTTCTAGAACTACCCAAGCCTAATACTATGTACAGATGTCTCGGGACTACTGGAAATCGCTCGGGAGAATGGCGATACCCGAGTTTGTGTCGAAAATTCGATTGTTCGATTTCCCGGCTATCGAAATTCTCGAGAATGTGCGGGCAGAAATTGATCGCCCTAATAAATACATTCGTGAGTGCATATATGTATGTAAACACACACAATTTAATTTACTCGAACATGATTGGAATGTTCAGAGGAATACTGAAGAAATTAAATTAGAATTTCAATACATATATTTCGTACTATTACACACGCCACTTAATTTCAATCAACTTACTCATAGATTGCAGCACTTAAGCCTAATTGAAATTAGAATTTTCATATCAATAATGCTACATTGGTAAACATTTGTAATGCAATCGTCTGCAAAAGTTGTTCACTTACCGGGAACGAATATCAAAACACCCAACAGAGTTGTCAAACTGAAGGTATGCATTTTTTTCAAATCCATTAAGTGCTCGTATTTATGTTCGATGATGTGAAGAAACAGTTACGGCTGCTCGATGTTAAACAAGGAGGCTTATTCGCTTGGTCGCGATGGCCCACGGCTTATAGTTGACATCAATTGCACGACGATTGGCAGACAAATATTCTAACGAGCAAGTTGAGCATGCATGCATCCTTTTTCTAAATTTGGCACACGCTGCCTGTCAATAAGGGCGAAAATGTATTTTTTATGTATTTTACGTATATTATACATTGGCACGTCTTTGGCAGCCCCGTTGCCTCTTAACGAAATCAGCGGTTTTTGGTTTTTTTTTTTTTTTTTTTAATAAATATACATATTTATTTAAACGTGTGCGACGTTCGTATGCATCTGTGTGCTTGAACCCAAGGACCGACTGACTATATTACCGGCTGGCTGAGTTACTGGAGCACCACTACCAATGCCTGGAGTGTTAGTATTCGCGTTGTTGCTACAGCAGTTGACTCTGTTGCTGCCAAAATGTTGCAGCTGTTCACTTTGTTTTTTGTTGCTTTGATTGCGCCTTTTTCGAATTTCCAGTTAACACACTTTACACACAAACTTACTTACATCCGCACTTATGAACGGCATACGCACACACATATATGCAGATATACATACATACATATATACAGGTTCCTCGAGGGCGTCACATACTTTAGAGTCTGTGTATTTATGATTTGCTTCGTTCGTTTGTTCACTTTCGTTCGCTCCAATTCTTTTGCCTTCAGACAATAAGCATTTAAACTTTTGTTGCAGCTTTTAGTGTTTCTGTTGATTTTTGTTTGTATTTGATTTTATTCCATTCGATTTAATTGCTTATTGTGTGGTCTTCTTCTTTCGCATATTTTCTATTTATTTATGCAGTGGATATTTCTGTAACAGATGATGTTATTGATTTAATTATTAATGCGATAACTTATTCAAGCGAAAAAAGAAGGAACTCATCCTTGAACTCCAACTTGAAGCGACTATTGCGCCTAAAATGCGCAGAGTTAATACGGGATAGGCGGGTCAATTGTAAACATTTAGCTACAAAGCCATACACATTTGATAGAATCACTTACAAGAATAAAGAATAAAGGGTCACTGAATATCAAAACCTGCTACGAAAATGCTAAGTACATAAAATTTCATGTAAAATAATAGAATTTTCAAGCAAAAAAACGAAACTTAAACAAAAACTTGTGATAAGGTGGAGTGGAATAAAATTATTTTACATTACAAATCCATATATGTACACTGATGGCTAAGTAAATTTAACCGGGGCCATAAAACAATTATTCCTCTCTATTAGAAAAAATGTTTACCCCTTTGATCGCAATGCTCTTATGCCCTGAAGTCAAATTTTCAAAGAGCGTCGACCACCATGCCAAAATCGCCAGATCACCAAATTTTGGACTTTCTTTGACTATTCCAAAGTTGAATTTATTTGAAAATATTTTGATCGCTTAAACCGAATTTCCACTATGCCTTGAAATGGCGACGAAATTTACACCATTTAAAAGTCAGATAAGTCTCAGAATTCTGAGTGGCATCCCTAGAGAGGAGCATAAGAAAAGTTCAAGATAGGAGCCATAAACTACGCTTTTCTGAATCTGAAAAACATATATTCCTTACAATTCTAATTACTAAAGAGTCGGAATACGACGAGTCAACCGGTCACATCATCAATTTAGACTCATTAATTCTGAGCACTGAGAAAGTTGTTTAAAGGGCATTGCAAACATATTTACATCCGCACTTATAATATATAATTATATGTTTCATACCAAAAAATCGCACAATTCAAAAATATTCTATCCCTGTGTTGTACTATTTTATTTGTTTTTTCCACTGTATTAAGAAGCTTCAGAAAGTAATGTAAGTATTCTCTTCACCGAACCCATAAGGACATGCTTCATATTGGGCGGAAAAATTATTTTAATGAAATGAGTAAACGGACAATTTTTTTCCTCCTTTCTCCGGAAAAAAGGAAACTCTACCAAAAACGAACAACCAACCAGAAAATAAAGCGAGCTAAGCTGGAAGAAGCTCAAAAAAGGAATTTAATAACAAAAGAACCAAATAAAGGCACAACAAATTCGAAATTCTATGAAGCACAAAACGGAATGGTAAACAAATGAAAAGTTCTGGTCGAGTGGACTGTGAACAAGCGGACGTCGTCGGACATCCATTCTCGATGTCAAAACTTCTCTGCCATCATCTAATACTGACTTTGGCAGAGCCCCCTTCACCGCCGCCAACATAGTCCATATAGACAATGATAGATTTGGCTTTTCGTATTAGGAAACAGCACAATGAAGGCATGTAAGGGGATAACTCGAGTATTAGTGCCATTACTATTGTTGCTTCGCTGCTGTCGGACTTTGCCCAGTGAAAAGAATGACAAACGAAAAAGGAAACTTAGAAAATGGAAGAGATGAAATAGAAACGGCTGCATATGGAAAATTAAGCAAATCCCTAATGCGAAGAATGGCTTGGCTTCGCTTGGCTTGGCCGTCGCAACTCGTCAGCGATGACAGACATGAATGATTGTTGTTATTCGACTGCTGGTATTTGAGCAATGTTTACACACGTAAATGTCTGGGCATGTGACTCCGTAAGCCCGTTTGGTGCTTGTACAGGTCTAAATATAAGAGTATGTGCTTATGTTTGTGATTTTCAGCTTGCTTCCGTATTTTTTTGCATTCTCAATTTGCCGGGTGTAGGTCGTGATTTTTTTCAATTAGTTAATTTAGATCAACTGGAGCGATGACACGATTTTTTTTCTATCACCGAAAATATGCAAACGGTAAATATTTGCTACACGGCCATACAGTTTGTTATGTTTAATTGGCTTAGAATTCGCTTGAGCCAATTTTTCTAAATACTTCGAGCATTTAAAACCCACGGAAGATATTTCTGCATACCCGCGTACACGCAACCGGCACATCAGCAGTTTTTACCGGCAAAAGTGCAACTAAACCGTTTGCGGAAGTCCATTTCTACCAAACATAGCTCCGATTACGCCACTTTCATTGATTGCACCAACTAAATTCACTATCAGCGGTAACAGACTAAGCCAACATTTCCCACAAACACTGCACGCCCCCCTTACACTTAAATAGGATGTGCGTTTGTAGTTTGTATGTATGTATTACACTGTAGCCAACCTGGCGTATACGCAACATCTGATTAAAAGGAAGTTACATGTTATTGCATGCACAAAACACTTTGGCGCTTGTTGTTGCTGTGCTGTGATTCAGCAGTTAAAAATCAAAAACGATTTTGATTTGCCGCGCGCAACGATGCTGCAACGTGAGCTGTCCCTCGTTCACTGATAATAACAATCGGCGGCAGCACTCATTGGTGTCGTTATGGCCATCCTGTTTCCAAAGCTGTTAGCTACGCAAGAAAATCACGTGCACGACAACTATTTAACAGTGATAGGCAAAAAAAAAAAACAACAACCAAAATCATTCAGAGAACAGAGTTCTGTAAAATGCGCTCTCCGACAGCAGTGAACCGGCCCTTTTCCCACGGTCATGTTAAGATAACAGTTAACTGCTATATTCATTTCAGTAGAGCGCAATGTCCTTAAGCAATTCAGTGAATTAAGATGCCGATGGCGTAGAAAATTTATCCAAGGTTTCAAAATATTACAGAAGTAGCTCATCGTACTTGGATTTAAGTAAATAATTTTCTTTTAAACTTTTTGAGATTTAGATTTGTCGATTTTCTTTTCAAAATATGTTTTAAAAGTAGTTTTATGAATGGAAAAACTTGATCGAAATTACTTTAAATATCGACTGAAAAATGTATGAAAACGTCATTTTATAAAGCTCTTTAAACCTACTTTATATTTTATGAATAAGGCCATTCGTTTTTAAGATGAAACTTAATATTAGGAGCGTCATCGAACAGCATTACGCAAATTTATATATTCGATTGACATACTTCATTGCAACCTAATTTTTTTTGTACTCATTTTAAAATCTTTCTCTTACCCTCTCTCTGTCTCTCGACTTTTAGCTCAGCTATTTAGTTAACAGCGCTGGGATGTTATTTAATGTTTCCAAATAACTTCAAACAGGCTAAGCGATTCAAAGATATTCATCAGCACTGGTTTAATACTCACTTTAGCATCTATCTTTGGTAAAACTTTATTCACATAAGTACGTATGCACATATATATTTGCGCTTCACCTAAAATTAAATTGCTGTATTTATGTACATGTATACAAATATGAAGTTATATATATGCACATTTATTCCTAAATGTGTGCTATACGAAACGCGCGCACTTTAGACTCCCGCCTAAGGGTCTGATTATGCATACTTCGCATAACTTCGCACAACCATTTATACCAGTGCACTAAAAATGTAACTTAAGAAAATGAGAAGCAAAATCTAAACTACACAAATCGTAAAGTTTTTAAAAGTTCTGCTAATTTCTGGGTAATGGAATACATACAAAATACACACAAAGCACATACGAAATTACAGTTTGAAGTTTATGCGAAGTTGTGCGAAGTTATGCGAAGTATGCATAATCAGACCATTATCCATCTAAGGAAAGTTGGTCGCATCCTTTGTCACTCAGTGCATGCAACTCCATCAAAGTTCCCATTATAGTTACACTACAACACCTTAGATGTAATGAGGAAAAAAAAACGAAATATCGCAAATTCACTCAAGTCGTCACCGTTTTTTTATGAGCGTACGTGAATGCATGCAGAAGCCAAGAAAAGCATACGTGGTTGTCGCAGTGCCTACATGGCAATATGCATTTTGTCTGACGATGGCATTAGCGCCTCCGCCTCCGCTGCCGCTGCCGCCGTCGTCACCGCTTCCGGTGTTAAAAATGCAAATTCATGAATTTCAAATTGAATCCGCATCCGCTGCTGCCCCAGTCTATTTGCGCACCTTCGGTATCCAGTACTTAGGCGCTTATGCCAGCCGATAACTGCCGTTAGCTGATATTGCTTGCCGCCATTGTCATGCTGCTCTTGTTGCGGCTAATGCGGCGTGGTCTGCTCTTGGCAGGAATTACTTCCACCGTCAGTCTGACTGTCCAGCATACGTAGGGCTCTGCCCCTACAGCAAGCCATACAGCCACTAACCCACTGGCCGGACACTCTCTCAACATCCTCCGTACAAAATCTGCCACTTCGTGCAACTGCTGGCTTTGTGTGTTGCTCGCACGCCATATTGCTGCTGTGCGGTTCACAAATTTCACACATCCGCTCATGTGTGTATCGTTGTGGGGCAGGACGGACGAGTTCAG